TTCCAAAACTTTTGTTTGAAACTTTTTTTTCTAACATTCATACTTTTTGAGTTACAGGACGTTTCATGTCACGCATAGCTACCAGCGTCACCCGCCGAGCTCGGCCGACGCTCGGCAGGTGACGCGGCAGCTACTTTATGATTAAGAACCCGGATTTTATTGCTATTATTTCGGGGGAATTCCAAGTAAGACGTCATTATTGTTTACTTACTACGACTTACGGAGTCTCATTTTTGAAATTCGAGTTATATAGTATAAATATCTATTATCAATATTTCGTAGGGAAATAACATTTTCTTTGAGTTAGAAAGTCTAATAATTCGAGATACCGCGTATTTAGGGGTTCAGCGGAAGGGAATGGCAAATTTTTTCGACTTACTGAGGATTTCAACTTAACGAGGTTCGAGTTATAGAGATTCCACTGAATATCATAACACGCATATAATTTTTTAAGTAGAGCGTGTCTATCAGCAACTTAATATTACCAAGTTTTTAAGTTTATGTGTGAACTGTATAATAATATAATTAAATTTTATTTATAATCTTATCTATGGTTTCGAGTAAACTTAGTGATCATATACTCTTTGGTTCTAAGGCGTCCCTCTAAATATTAATATACTCTTTGGCGCAGCCTAACAAGGAGACATTGACGTCTCCATTTGGGGACACCGGACTTTTAAGGGTTAACTATCACAGGTAGTGTACTCGGGCCAACTATTTTTAATTATTTAACAATTATGCCTAAAATTAGATAGGTGCCAAATTTTTACTTACGCTGATGAGACTGCATTAATCTTCTATGGAAAAAGTTGGGACGAAGTTATGATTCATGCTGAATTAGGAATGCAAGCAACGTTACAATGGCCCAATAAAAGGACCTTCTTACTTTGAATATCTCTAAAACAAAATTTATGTTGTTTGCAAATAATAAACGAGCGCTAACTACTGAAAATTCATTTAAAATAAAAATACACACCTGCAAAAACAAAAGCTCAATTCAATGCAACTGCACATCTTTATACCGAAATGACACAGTAAAATACTTAGGCGTAGTGTTGGATGAAAATCTGACATGGTGCCCTCATATTAATCAGTTAGCAGGGAAAACAAGAAGCTTGGTATATATATTCAAAAAACTAAGACACGTGGCAGACTATTCTCTACTTATGACTGTTTACTTATCATTGGCACAGTCTATCTTGTCGTACTGTATTACCTCATGGGGTGGAGGCCCGTAAAACTCATCTCATAAAATTAGAAAGAGCGCAGCGTATATTACTCAAAGTAATGACATTTAAACCATTTAGCTATTCTACAGATAAACTATATTCAGAATGTGACATATTGACAGTTAGACAACTGTATATAAAAGATACTGTTATATTCCAACATGAAAAACTTACATATGATCACGAATTAACAACCAATCGCCGGAAAGATAAGGTCTGTCCTACTTGCCATTTTAAAACATATTTTATAACTAAATTTCAATGCTACTTAGGTCCTATGCTTTACAATAAAATAAATAAAATTCTACAAATCTACTCGCTTAACAAATATAAATGTAAAAAACTACTATTGTCTTGGTTAAAAACTCTAAATACAGAAGAAACTGAAAATTTCTTGATCACTTTAAAATAACATTACATTAGAATAATTTATCTATCTACTAAAAGTACTTTATCTATAATAATTAAAAATTATTTCACTTATATAGCTATTTATAAAACTATATTTAATTAAGTCTAAATGTAATTAAAAAAAATCTTTGCAAAAACCATGAATTAAATAATTATATAATATGTATTGACTGTTCACTGTACATTGCATAACTTTTTGTTAAATACCTGTAGAATTACTAAAATTATATATCATATATCTTTGCAATACTTCATTGTAACCTATCACCAAAAGAAGCAGTTCTCTGACTTGTGATAACAATAACCATTTATTGCATTATTAACTAAGAAATTAAAAATGTTCCTATAAACAGTAGTCTAACCTTTCATACGCATAATAAGTTAGTGTGACGGTAATCGCAAAAAAGTGATAATGTATTTACGAATTTGTAACGTAATACATAGATTAGGTGAATCATAATATGCCGTATACTTTTATAATTGTAAATAATGGTGCCTTTGGAAGTGACTAGTGTCTAAGATACAGGCTCGGCCTAGTTTAGACGCTAGTGTACAAAATTGTATAGATAAGTTATAACTCATACCATTTGTTCAAATGTCTTAAAGATAAATAATGTAATCCTTACTTTGTGTCAATAAAATTATTATTATTATTACTTCAAACCATTATTCAAGCGACAAAATAGGAGCGACAATCCGTCGACGGCCAATGAGTTCCCGCCAAAACTCTACAAAACCCAGACGTTGCCACAGACCATAGAGAAACTAACGTGACCATAGAGCACAGGAGAACGATCGTTACGTGCTAAAGCATGGCAGGCCTGTCCCTGAAAATTTGTACAATTTATAGCGGCGCTGCCGTCGGTAAGTGGTGTCTGCGATGAAATTTTTTAATTTTTGACAAAAAGAAGCATTAAAAATGGTGAAATATTATAAAAAATAATAATAATAAATCGTTTATATTTGTAATAATTTATAATAATTAAAATTGTGGAGACAACTTAGCTATCGCAACGCTTCACATATTTTGTCCATATTTCTGGGACACTATTTTCTACAGTGATCATTCTCCTACCTCCATGAACGTGAAGTTGCATGAGTAGTATCCACTTAGTAGGTAGTCTGTTAGTCTGTGGTAGGGATTCGCAAAAAGTATCGTGCACCTGAGTAATATTGATGATTGTAGTTCGATGCCACTGACCTCTATATATACAAGTACGCTGGACTGGCTATACACCGTGATATGATGAGGCGATTTGATTTGATCTGACAGCAGAAGTGCACGTCCACGGTACCAATAATAGGGAAAAGACAGTGCGACAAAATATATCGATAAACTTACCAGATTGTCATTCCATCAAGTGGGGCGACGCCCTTCACTTCAACTGCCGGTACGAAGCTGCTACTCGTTTCTCCAAACTGCGATGGTGAACTGAAGCCGATCCGATGCCAGTAGTCGGACGTTTCATTTAAAAATTTAATTACCTAATATATCGGTCTCTGCAGTACCCACAAGCGCGGAACGATAGGAACAGCTGAATCGAACCATATAGGTGTGGAATAAGGTACACGAATCGCCCGAATTGGTGTGGAGTAATTAACGCAAAAATAATTAATTTATTACTCAGTATCTACAGCGAATAACGCAATAAATGCAATATTCACAGAATCGGTAATTAATTTGCAAACGATGTGCAGTGGTTTCAATGTTCTCAGATCAATATCCTACAAGAAAAACGTATTTTGCTGCTTTCTCGCAGCGTAAAGAGATTTTTATTTTTTATAAATAAAGTTATAAATTAACAATTTTTTTACTCGAGATTACAAATATTTCCAACGATTCCGCAATTATCTAATTTTTTTCCGATATGATTTATACAATATGGTACACGAACCGCCCGAATTGGTGGAGAGTAATTGACGAAAAAAATAATTAATTTATTACTCAGTATCTATAGCGAATAACGCAATAAAAGCAATATTCACGGAATCGGTAATTATTTTTAAAACGATTCGCAGTGGTTTCAATGTTCTCAGATCAATATCCTACAAGAAAAACGTATTTTGCTGCTTTCTCGCAGCGTAAAGAGATTTTTATTTTTTTATAAATAAAGTTATAAATTAACAATTTTTTTACTCGAGATCATAAATATTTCCAACGATTCCGCAATTATCTAATTTTTTTCCGATATGATTTATACAATATGGTACACGAACCGTCCGAATTGGTGGAGAGTAATTGACGAAAAAATAATCAATTAATTACTCAGTATCTATAGCGAATAACGCAATAAAAGCAATATTCACAGAATCGGTAATTATTTTTAAAACGATTCGCAGTGGTTTCAATGTTCTCAGATCAATAACTTACGAGAAAAACGTATTTTTCTACTTTCTCGCGGCGTAAAAAGTTTTTGATTTTTTATAAATAAAGTTATAAACTGACAATTTTTTTACTCGAGATTATAAATAGTTCTAACGATTCCGCAATTATCTAATTTTTTTCCGATACGATTTATACAATATGGTACACGAACCACCCAAATTGGTGGAGAGTAGCTGACGAAAAAATAATTAATTTATTACTCAGTATCTATAGCGAATAACGCATTAAAGGCAATATTTACATAATAGGCAATTTATTTGCAAACGATTCGCAGTGGTTTCAATGTTCTCAGATCAATATCTTACAATAAAAACGTATTTTTCTACTTTCTCGCAGCGTAAAAAATTTTTGATTTTTTGTAAATAAAGTTATATACTGACAATTTTTTTACTCGAGATTGCAAATATTTTTATCGATTCCGCAATTATCAAATTTTTTTCCGATACGATTTATACAAATTATTCGCGAACATCGTGTAGCTCAAATAAAGGGCGAGCCCAAAGCACTATTAATTTATCGCCGTCTATTAGGCGAAACACGAACTTTAGCGAAAATTCATCTATCTCTAGTATATATACAGTAATCTATGTTCCGTACGTTTTGGTTACCTACTTGGCTTTGGTCACAAACTAATAAGAGTACTAACCACAGAAATATTACTCCTAATCGGAGGTACTAACCTCCGATAGGAGCTATGGATAGGAGTAATAGCTTGTTCTGTGCTACTAACGTAGTTTTGGTTGAATATGTGATAATGGTTATGTACTTAGGTGTATCTATATGATATAATATTTTGATAACTTAACGTAACTAATAACGTTTTGATATATCGGTCTCATGCCTAGCTTTATTTACAGTGTTTTGTGATGTAGAACCAAAATATTAAAATATTTACAAGTGTTTACGAGTTTAGATAGAATAGCACGATGATGTCCTAATCGTAGAAAATCATAATAGTAGGAATTGTTACAATTATGAAGTTTTCATTCCAGCACAGAGCGTTTTATTGCTACTTATGTATGACCGTATGGATTTTTATACTGATATCAGGTAAATAACAATATATTATTTATATTTAATAAAATTACATTTTCGTCGTAACAATATATAAAATTTAAGTTAAATAGTTTTAGTATTCCCAAGATAAGGATAGATATAACTTAATATGTACAACACATTAAAAGGCGGTACTAATTCCATTGTACAGTTTCCTTTTTTCACGTTTTGAAATAATCTAATGGTTATATGGTTTTACTTAACATACCACATTTAATCTATCTTAGTTGATGTGGGGGGCAACAACAAATATTGAGTATGTTTCTATACATGTTAGGGTGGATATTAACATTTTTTTGAAATATTTATTTTAAGATCCCTTGTTTTCTTGTGAATACTACTACACATAGAATAAAAGTAATATTATTGATTTTATCAAGCACATTAAATTCATATTCCATTCTTGACAAGTCTAATGGCTATAGATGCTGTGAGTCACTTATTATTTTTATATTGTTTTCAGTGGTATATAAGTACATATCAATAGGAGAAGAAACTGGAGCCCTAAAAGTAACACAAAATGAGTACATATCAAAAAGTGATGCTAAATTTAAAAGAATATACCTCAAATCCTGCAATCCATCAGATTCCATTGTAAGAGGATCAGAAGGTAAATTTTCGATATATTATTTTGTAATGTTAGTGCAATTTTACTTTTTAGTTCATAAGCACCCACACTTACACATTGCCCACACTCAAAATAACACACAATCTGGTTTCCCAGGGATTGACATAAACAAAATCTAATAAGTAATTTGGCTATGGGGATATCAGTTCATTTTGGAAAAGGGGTGTCTTGCCCAAAATAGCTTGGGAAACCCTGTCTTAGAGGCTTATCACAGTTTATCTTCTCAAATAACCTGTTAAGCCCCTTACAGTCTGGCTTCAAGCCAGGTCATAGTACTGTTTCCATGCTCCTTAAAGTTACTGGTGACATTAGGGCTGGCATGGAGGAAACTAAAATCACTGTGCTGGCTTTGCTAGACTTCTCCAACGCCTTTAATGCCATCAGTCATGACATCCTTCTATATATCCTTTCCCTTTTTATGATCTCATCTGAGATTCTGGAGTGGTTCTTATCTTATATCCTCTCAACTGTCCCGGCCAAAATGGGCATATTAGCGCACACTGTCCAATGCTCAAAAAGTGTAACTTGAATTAATATCAAAGAAAAAAATTATCATCGACTTCTCTCTTTCACATTAATAACAAAAATGATAGTAGTAGCTGGATAGGAATTTAATAGGTTTATCATGTAGTTTTGCTATGTCTTCCCATGCTGTATTAAGTAATGTAGCATCACAATGTTCAACACATTTAATATTATAAATATACATTCCTATCACCTTACTAAATTGTTTTTATCACTATCAGTCAGAGGCTAATAGATCTTATGTGGGCTTTTCCATTACCCAACTCATTATATGGCAATGAGATAGGGTTTTATGTTACATGTACCTCACAAGGTATATACTAATACTGATGGACTACACATATTTACCAAAACCACCTACAAACAAACTTTAGTGATAGGCTGTTGTTCTTTCTTCAGCTCTCGTCGACAGTGATACCTGGGTATTGCAAGGCATACTAGTAGTGACAAGACATGGTGACCGGGGGCCCCTTACTCACCTTAAGGGTGGTGATAAACTTCCATGTGACACAGAACCAGTTTCAGCTCTACTCAAAAGGTATAACATGAATACTGAACAAATTTTTACTGTTACTGCTTAAGAAGTAGTTTAATACAATATTCCTGCCATATTGTAGTTTAATGGCCCATTGGAGAAATCATCTCTCAACCCGTGGATGTGGCAATAGCTAAAGGATTTCACTGCCTAGATGGCCGTATAACCAATCATATATGGTATTGGTCATGTAGGTATCACTATTTCATAATATGTTTATATTATAAAATAGAGATACCAGCATTGAGGAGCAAATCTGGTATTTTAATGGCTAATCTGACTTTCCATCTTGGTGAATATGATAAATTCTTCTCTCTAAGCTAAAGAAATAAACAAATTTAAATTGCCGATTGGTGACAGTCTTTTATGGGAAATGCCATAAAAGTCTTATGGCTTCCGATAACCATCTAGTATACATTGACGTAAAATGACTAGACTGGTGGCAGCAACAAAGATGCGCGAGTTCTCTGGCGCTGCAGTCTTCAATCTGCCTGCCAAGCCTGACAGTTAAAGCAAACTCACCCAACAAAGAGATAAGCTCATGTACAGCTATGGACTATGGGCTGATAATGAAGAAGAAAGAGGCTAATGACCAGAAATGGAATGTTAATGGCCTGATAAAGATAATTTTTTGCAGGGTAAGAATATCCACTATCCCATATCGTCCTGTGGGTGCCACTAGAGGTGACTCAGAGAAACTGAAACAGGAGATGGGTAGCGACATCTGGTAACAACTCAAAACAATAAAACCCCTTGCCCCCTGCACCGAATGAGACAATCTATAGGGAAGGCCTATGTTCAGCAGTGGACAGGCTCCAATAGATGAATGGATTTTATATTATTGTTAATAGCAACAGCGGCCTAATGGTTAAGGACTAGATTCAAATACGCCAATCAATTACTGTCTAATGTTGGCGATATCTTACGAGTGCTGAATCACATTAGATTTATATACAGTAGACCCGCTGTAATCCGACAAACATTTTGCAAGATGGTGTCGGATTATTAAATTTGCCGGTCTATAGAGTACTGCCACAGCCCTCTTGTAGTCTTGAACTTTTTGAATAAGAGTACCTTGTAATCCGACAAATCACATATCAAATACAAAATAATAAAAAAAGTTGTGTAATGCCAATGAATACTTAAACATAGTAATTGATGAATGTCCGCTAGGCTGCAACCCCATAGTCAACTTACACAATGGCGCGAAATAAATGCAACCTGTTTGTCAATGTATTCGTGAAGCAAAAAAGCACACAGAAAGCATACTACTGCTAGATAGATTGTATGACATAATATGCAATTGCATACCTTCGGTGGTTTTGAAAAGAGCAGTTTGGGTTTGCTTGAAATATTTAAAAAAGGGACGCCTGGCAGATGTGAAACCTCGAAATTATATTTTGTTTAAGTTATATGCATAAAAGAACAGATTACGACAGGAATTAGATAGTTATAATGAGAAGATAAAGCTTTGCTAATTTTTTACCATAAAATAAGGACTTATAATTATAATTATTCATTTTCAATTCATAATAAACCGTAAAAAATGATATATTTAAACTCATATATCACTACAAATTAGCCGATAGCGTATTTGTGCCATCTTTAGGTACCATCGTCAGAATAAACCAATTTTCGTTTGATAAAATGACTTTACGTATTATAGAATTAAGTAGATGGCGCCATTAAAATTTTATATACTGAAAAGTAGACAGAGAAACCTAACTGGAAATAACTAAAGGGAGTACTATTCTTTAAAAACCTCAATACATTCTTCTGTATTCTTTTGATTTATTTAATTAAAATTTGGGCTTCACATTAAAAAAAGATTGTAACACTTATTTCCTCTAAAATTAAACCTAGGTCTCATACTTTATGCTGCTGTTCAAATTGATATTTTTAATTCGTATGGTAATATTAATATTGAGTTATTAAACCTTTAAATACGCCTAACTTAATTAAACTTTAATACTAAAGAGTCCTGTACCTATATTTAAAGTATGAAGAAATGTTTATTGAATATTAAATTTCATTTTTAAAGATTTTTACCTTTTCTTCGCCGATTAGCACTTCAACACACTTATATTCATCACAATGAACACTATTATCCTCCCATTTTCACTGAAAATCTTCGAAAAAGCATAAATTTTTAACAAACAACAAAAACAAACATAAACATTGAAATGTGAAGTGAACTTGCATATGAGGGGCCCGCAACCACTTCGCTAGTCGCTAACGCACTCCTAAACAACTTCATGGCAAAGACAGGTTTGTTGGCTCAATAGTAATTGCTATATAAGGGTGAATCAACTATTTTCTGTAATTAATCAACTTTTTGTGTTAAAAAATAAACTTACTGTTTTTAGTTATTTAACTTTAAATATGGATAACTTAACCATCTAGTTTTAATATTTTATGTAGAGCATCGAACTTTTTTAAATGCTTTTAGGGTTTTTAACCAAGAATGTCAGAACTGACAACTTTAAATGTCTCTTGGGTAACGGACATATTATACAATATATCGTAAGTAAAACAAAACAGAAAAGATTAATCAGTATATTTATTTTTTATTAAAGTTTAAAGGAATTATTATAGGTCTTTGAAACTAAACAAATCAGTCTTATTCTTAAAATAATGACTAAAATAGTCACTGGTAAAATAAATCAATACAAACTTTAACTATAACTTTTTTTTTAAAATAATACATGTAAGCCAAACTAATACTATACTTACCGCCACTTATTCATCAACCATTATATAAAAATAAAATATACCTAAGATATTTTGTTCTATTTCAATGTCGAGAGATTCATTATAAAATTAGGGGACATTGTTGTTAGCCAGGAGACAAACTTAGTGACTCAAGAGACATAACGATATACCAACCAAAATTAAAAGAAAAATAATAAATTTAAAATTGTTAATAATATAAAAATTCTGTCAAAAACTCTGTTGTGTAGTCTAAATAACAAATTATAATAAAAAGTCCAACAAAAAGCACAATCACAATAAGTAAAAATATATATAATAACGGAAACTTTAAAGTAGTGAAGTAAATAACTATTGCCAAATCACTTCTCTAAAACGTGTACATTATATTCAAATATGTAATACTGTTGGCTTCTTTTGGTAGTCGTTTTATGCTCAGCTAGAATTTATATTATGTCAGTATAGTCGATGTCAGCTACGTCACTCTTTTCGAGAGGAAATGTGTTTTGTGAAATTTGAATATTTGTGCAAATCATCGACTACACAAGCATAATGATTTCTTAAATTTACGCGAACACTACACATTGAATAAAACTAAATTTACCTATGACATTGGGACGGTAGGTAGCCGGACTAACTATGATATTGGGATGTCAAACATCTCAGTCCCCCCCCGTGACCATGGTTGCTGTAAAGCACCCGAAACGTCGGGAATTAAAAATAAGTAAAAGTAGTGAAATAAACGCGATAAAATCCGTATAATTTAGTTTTATTCAATACACAAGCATATTTAAAAATCTTACTTAAAAGTCCATCTGTCTCACCTCTTGGTTCTCTTTTTTGTTACAAAGTTGTGCTGTTGAACTTTTTGGTTTTAGAGATGTCATCACTGGCTCATCATCAGAAGTTTCAGGTGTTTTATAAACCAGTTGAAACCAATTCTTGTTGTGAGCTTGGCATAATTCTATCAATCGGGTTGATTAAATAGTTAAAATAAGCATTAGCTTTGACTTTCAAGTCCTTATTTGTCCGGTTATTCCCAGAGATTCTTTAACTATTACTTTTTTTGCACAGTCATCAACACTTTCAAATATGTCTTTCAGTATTTTCTTATCTTTGTGTTTCTTTGTTTTTTGGTACCTTTCTTTGAAAACACCGGATAGCTTTTTGTACTTTGTCATTTCATCAGCATTGTCATTTGCTTTTGTTTCTTTGGCAACGTTTTTTCTTATTTTTCGTATTTTTTGTTGTAGTTTTTCATTTTCTTTCCGCAACTTTAAATTTTCCCTATATAATTTTTATCGATCTCTCCTAATTTTCTGTAGTCATTTACTCTTCCTTGATACATTTTTATGTGGAAGCATATTTTGCAGACTATTAATACCAGATATATCCGTCTCGTCATTGTTTCGATGCGGTGAATTTTGAAAAGCATCATGGGCTACCATAGCATCTGCTTCAGGTATCAATATAGAAGAAGAACTTAGAGGTGTTATATCATCAAGAAGGTGATTTAAATTATTCCTGTTTTGTCTTAAGTTTTTCTTCCTAAGTTTCCAAGTTGTTCTTGCATTATATTTCTCTTGTGGTGTTAAGTCTTTGATAAGTCTCTTTTTTGTATGATAATTCACATGCTTTTTTCTTTTATATTCTTCGTACTTTTCAGAATTCAGTTTGAGTTTTTCTTTATATCTACTCTGCCTTTCGGCGGCTGTTAAAGGCGTATTTACTGAAACGATTAAACTTACACTAAACCAAAACAAACCTAATAATTAACATGAAAATACTTTACAGAGAAAACGGAATTGGTAATTGAACATTGAAATAGAATGTAAATATTTATTAAGGAGACTTATTCGTTATCATATGCAAAGAAAATGCAAGATGTCTCTTGGGTCACTCGTTTTGTGATCAGTGGAACTGTGAACCAGGAGAAATACGATTTTTTAAGCATTTTGTTAAGAAAAGTTTCGATAAATTGATAATTACATATATTAGAGGAATTACAGATTTAAAACTTAAGAAATTAGTTTGAAAGTAACGTATTAAAATATTATCTAAATAAATAATACGACGTCAGCCAGCGGAAGCACAATGAACACACGCATGCACTTTTGAAGTCACAGACGAAATGGTCGAGCCAAATCACTGCTATAGTGTAATTAGGTAGGATCGTCCGAAGTACAGAACTATTTCCTATTAGCTAAGCCACTCACATGCTATCTCTCTCGTATTTTACAATGTTTTATGCGTGTGACTCAGGAGACGCATGTTCTACTACTATCGTGGGGACATAAATTATGATTTTAATTATTATACCGAAAACTAAACTTAGGGATCTATAAAAAGAGACAAAGAAAGAAAGCGTGTAGTATTTAATTTTCATCGCGAAAGCTCATTGCATCCTTCGGAAAAAAATATAGTATCATTGCTAGATACCAGGCCGACACTTCGTGGGGACAGGATGAATTTGTATGGGAAGACTATTTAGTCCACTGGGTCACGAGTTTTATTTTTGCATTTTTGAGTATAACTGCAGCTAAGTATTAATTCGAATTAACTACGAAATATCTGATTTTATAACTGTACTAAAATTAAAGCCTTAATACTCAAAATGTAAGTTTTTAATAATTTATACTGTTGGGGACACGTTTTGACAAAAAAAAGTTGATTCACCCATAAACATTTCGTAGTTATATTTCATTATAGAATATTTTGCCATATGTTAGAAAGAGAGCGATCGTCATCTCGAAAGCTCCGTAAAAAGCCCACGCGAGTGAGGGAGACAACTAATCGCTCTATTAAAACTCACTTTATGACAGCAGCAGTATCGCTACAGAGTACCTTTGTATAAACGTATCGCTAAGGCAATACGAGGTCATCGGTCGACATGTGTCGAACAGTGGAGTGCGCGGGAAAATTGAAATAATTTGAAACAGTTTAGGGAGTTATTTTATTAGTTAATATTATTGATTGATTCAGTTTTAATAAGGCAAGCCCGGCTTTTCAGCTTTAATGGAAGCTTCGCCACTAGGTTGTCGGTTCTTCGAGCTATATGGCCGGCCCATTGCCACTTCAGCTTACTAATCCGTTGTGCTATGTCTGCAGATATCCTCATTTCTAAGTTTATCACGCAGAGAAACCCCTAGCAAACCCCTTTCCATAGCTCGCTGAGCGACTGTCATACGGCCAGCAGTGGTCACCACCACGTCTCGGTTCCGGTCATCACTGACAATAATGATCATAATGGTAATTAATTTAAAAAACAGTGCTTTTATTCAACGATTTTCAGTTACGAGGAGTTCGTTGTGAATGCGAGTGCTTCGGGTCGCGCGTGGTGGGTGTCAGGGCCCGGTCCCTTCCACAACTTCCCCTCCCTGCCGCCACGCGCCGCAGCCACCAGATGCGCGCTCGGACAGCTCACCCCCAGTGGCTTGCTTCAAATGCTTACCGTTGGTGGGTTATACACATATAACATGTATAGCTTATACAATACACATATAGGTTGATCTATAAATTTTTGTAAGCGTCATTGCGACACAATTTAAAAAAATAACGTTTGAAAATTTGTGCAAAATGGGGAAAACCGAAGTTTCGGAAGTAATTTAGTTTTAGTTGTTTAAGCTTGAATTTTTTTGTACATAATGAATTTTTGAAGAATTGCAGTCTTCTTTTGGGAAACAACCGCCACATACCTACTTAATTCTATTTCGGAATTCCGTTTTGAAATTCCGAAACGGAACGAATGGGTCTGTCACATACGTACGGAATCCCGCTTTGACTGCAAAATTTAGAACAGAAAACTACCGTAGGTATGACGGGTAATTGATTTTCTATGCACTTGCTGCGTTTGGAATCCGAATCGGAATTCCGAAACATATTTCCGTATGTATGTGGCCGGCCTTATTCTGCAGTAGCCTGCTGTTGCGAAATATACCCATTTTTTCCAAGGGATTTGTGGTAGACTTTAGTGGTAGAGCGACGCTGCAACTTATAGTTGTATCACGAATGGGTCGGCTCGACCGGGGCAGGACATAGAATACCAACGTAAACTAGCAGCTTAATGCTGCAACGCACAACACACAACAAATATATAATATGCCGGATGTGAAATATACAGATCGGCAACAGGTAGAAGTGCAAAAGGTGTAAATTGTTGCTATTATAGTAAATCCTCCCTACAAAGGAAGAAGCTAATTCTAATCTGGTTTAAGAGTATGGTGCTTATGAGTCAACAAAGAAGAAAAACCTTTATAGGGCAAGCTGTGATCGACATTTTTTTTGGTGTGACATACTGAAAATATTAAAGCGAGAGCTTATTCCTATTGAACTTACTGTAAAAATGTGATTGTGGATAATCAAGCTGCATGTATAACACATTATGTTTGGAGAATGGATGGTAATTATTTAAAATGTGCACCGGATATTAATAGATATGAATAAAAAGCAACTTGCTACATAATATTGACTTGGTTTTGAAGCAAACAAGAAACATTAGACAAAATACGTTTTTGCACAAATAAATTTTTTTACGTGGTAGAGCCATGCTGCAGCTATAATAGTAGTATAGTTGTAGCACGAATAGGTCGGCTCGACCGGGAAAAAACCACGCTCTCTCAGAATACCAGCATAAAATAGTAGCTTAACACTGCTGTGTTTTGTATGGTGAGTGTAGAGAACTGGAGACCCTTCTTACTGGAAAGGAGGCATTCCGTCTTAGTCCTCACTGGTGACAACGCACCTGTATTTTGATTCGTAATTGAGGATAGATGTCTATAGGCTACAGCAACCACTTACCATCAGGTGGACTGTGTGCTAATTTGTCACCTATATTATGCCACAGAGCATCCATACATTATTCATCTAGTGTTGCAAACTCTAGATAAAATTATTTGCAAATAATAGACTGGTTGAACTTTGTAACCTATGTAGTTAATTTAAATTCAGTGAATCTAGGAATTTTGTTAGAATTTGAACACTAAATGTCTAGTCTTAAAATTGTTGGAAACTCCTTTTGATGTAAGCTGATGCCGCCGCCAGTGTAGGTATTTACTATTTACGCCGTCTAGTATATTAGCGCTATGCTATATTTATGCTAGAGTTGTAACAATACTAGGAATAAAATAATGTTAGATATTATTATACTCATAACCATTAATTAATATCAAGTACATACTTATGGGTTGAAAACATCTAATGAACAAGATAATTTTATATTACTACAAGAAAAAAATACATTTACAGGTGACTGCCTAATATTTTTGTGACACTTTCTTTTTATAGATGTTTTCACTTTTCGATTGTTAAATTTAACTATGTAGTATTTTCACATTCGGATGAGAAAAAATGAGGCAATGTAAACATGGCTGTGTATTGAATTCTAATTTATATAGTAAATCATGTAACTATAACAATAATTCACCATTATAAACAAATTTTACGAAAACGGCACTTAATTTAGTTAAATAAGTACTTTAAAACACGCTCGCGTGAATCTTATGATACAGCAGACTTAGTGAAGTGCGCTGAAACACGGTCGTGCCGCCACTGCCCCGCAAGGTCCTCAACGTTATTCTGCATAAGTACATTCGTTATACAACTGTTAAGCTGTGGTAATATTATCTTGTTAAATACTTATTAAAGCTGAAACGGAAATAAAATGATTTAGCAGTTTTTTTATTTCATTTTGTACTTTTCATTTAGTTTTAAACTTTTATTGTACTAACTGTAATTTAAGTCTCCTTACAACCACTCCTGTAACTATTTATATTTTTCTTAAATTTTCAGGTAATGTTTTAAGAGAAGCTTATAGTGCTAAATTGGGTCAAGAAAATATGGATTTAACAGGCAAAAAGGATACAGGTAAGGACAAATTTATATCAGAATTAAGTTTGCCACTTTTTTTTTAACAGTCTGTCAATCAATTAAAAACTTTCGGATCTCGCCTTTGTCGTGAGTAGTTGTATATACCGTGATACTACCATATTAGAGAACAAACTGAAAACCGAATTGGAAACTCATTTAAGTAGAAGAATTAACTACAGCTGGCTCCGGCTTTTCCAAAATATGACAACTGGTATGGCATAATTTTAAAGATTTGGTCACGCTGTTGGTGAGCGCACTACCGACATAATTACATTGTTGTGTTGCTTCCCATCATTATTCGTCCATGTGATTTAGATTTGGACTTACTATTTGGTTGAGGGCGGCAATCTTTAAAAATCAGGGTACAATGCGATTCAAATAAGAATAGGAACGTCAATGGCCTCGAATGACCATGATCTGTCAAATGTCACTTGGAAAGTACGGTTTGCAAAGAAAATTAATTTTCCACTTTTATGTTTATTTAATTTAGTTTTACCAAATCTATTGAAGTCATAATTAGTTTTGAAAATATTTTAAAACTGTTTTTTTTCTATTTTCATTGTTGGCAACATTCGCCTGAAAGCACCACACGTAAGAGGACCACATGTTGTGTGCTTCGTTCGATTTCGTTCGTTCTTCGTTCGATTGAGTGCATGTGCTCAGGGAGTTCTACTATTTATTTGGATAATTTCTAACGCAGTTGTTTCCTGTTAAATTTGTTGTTATCGGTTTTTGTTAAATCTGTTGTTATTTGTTATTGTTTTTATCTCAATGACTGCTTTAAAATGTGTAAACGAGATACTGATTTGTATTGGAGAGTTCGGTAATTATCTGCAATGTAGAGCAACAGCACGGTGTTTCATCGATACACGAATTAAATACATTAAACATCTAAGGAATAAAATACAATGCGGACTCGTGAAATGTACTCTTTGCAAATGCAAATCCTGAAAAATGCAAGTAAAATGACCGAACGAGTCCATTTTGTCACTGGTGTAAATGAAAATACTTTGACCCGTATTCGACGCGAGTAGAAAGATGCGGAAGCTAGCAGCAGCATAACTACATCAAAAAAGAAAAATCGAGGTAAATCTGCAGTATGCGACAGTTTTGAAATTGCTGCTCTGCTTAACATAATAAATTCGATATACACTGTGATGATTTCTTAAATTTACGCGAACACTACACATTGAATAAAACTAAATTTACGAAATTTATCGCGTTTATTTCACTACTTTTACTTATTTTTAATTCCCGACGTTTCTGGTGCTTTACAGCACCCATGGCATGGTCACGGGGGGGGGGGGGACTGAGATGTTTGACGTCCCAATGTTACAGTTAGTCCGGCTACCTTCAGTTTTTGAATATTAATTTTTGGTCCGATTTACGCAAAACGAGCTTATAGTATCATGAGGTCTTGCAGTGGTATGCTTAGGTTTGGGTTTAATTTTGTTAATTATAGGATCCCAAGCAGGTGGCAGCACCCATCCATCTTCTCTATTGAAATTTGGATGTTTTTTAATTTCAATAGCCTCGCGTATCATCCTTGGTAGGAATCGGTGTTCTTTTGCGAGGATTTGTGGTTTATCAAATCGAATGTAATGGTGGGGACGATCTTGAACATGTTCGCAGACTGCAGACTTCCCGGAGCGTCGGTGCTTCACGTCAGCTATATGTTCTTTCACGCGGGTTTTTATGGATCTTTTTGTTTGACCTATGTAAGAGAGACCACATTCACAATCTAACTTGTACACTCCTGCATCTTGTAGAGGGATATTACACTTGACGGATGGTAAAAATTGACTAATCTTCTTCGGCGGCGGCGGCGAAACGTCGGGAATTAAAAATAAGTAAAAGTAGTGAAATAAACGCGATAAAATCCGTAAATTTAGTTTTATTCAATGTGTAGTGTTCACGTAAATTTAAGAAATCATTATGTGAACCAGTACGGACTGGTAATAGCAAATAAAATTCGCCGATTAGAAGATCTTAAAACCAAGCGCGCAAGATATATAACATCTTTAAATTTCTTGAAGAGATGCAGAGACCATAATCTCATTCCTACGTGTGTCAAAATATCAACAAAAAAGGACATTCGAGGAAGCGCAAAGATCTTAAATCAGGCATGTAAAAAGTTGTTACGAACGGTGATTCAGCAGAAATGGTTCGATTTACATTTCATAAACAACACCATAGACAATTTGTTCAGTGAACTAAAGACAGTTTTAACGACATTTGATTTTAATAATTGCATCGAAACTTTAAACAAACGAGAAACAGCAAAATACAATGAATGCAAACATAAATAATTAGAAAAATACTAAAAATTAACGATCAAATCAAATGCCAATCGTCTAAGTCAACGTCAGAATGAAACGCAACCGTTGACCACAGACGCAAACAATAAACAACGCACGGTCTATAATCTGTCAAAACATACACTGGACGAACCAACAATAAAGGTATTAGCGCAGGGAATGAACTTCACATTAACACCGCGAAAAATCCCGTACGAAGAAATTATCTGCAGTGTTGAGGATTGTCTGTTTAAAAATAATATTGGTTAGGAAGATTTGGAGGCTATACGTCAAGATATTTCGTCCTTGTTACGTCGTAGTTCAGTGCCGAAACCAAACCTTCCTAAAGACGAATTTACAGCGCTGATTAACTTACGGAACAGACCAGAGCTAACGATTCTCCGCGCGGATAAAGGAAATGCTACGGTAATAATAAACACGTCAGAGTATAATTTCAAAATTCTACAGCTTTTATTGGACGAAAGTACATACAAAAAGGTCAAAACAGACCCCACAACTAACACGCTTAAAGCAACTAGCGATTTAAAAAGAAATACTCCGAAAAATTAAATCTCGACGTGAATTCGCTAATACCATCATATACTAAACCACCGAGGTTGTATGGGTTACCGAAGATACACAAACCAAACGATCCACTACGTCCTATAGTGAGCCAGATCGTTTCACCAACTTATAAGCTGGCACAACACTTGGCAAAAATACTGTCACCACTGAGAGGACATACAAGAGCACACACAAAGGATTCATACTATTTTGTTAGTGAGATAAAAGACCTACATCTCGCTGACAATGAAACTATGGTCAGTTTTGATGTTCAGTCACTATTCACATGCCTACCTATTGAAGACTGCATATCAATTGTAACTATATATAATTGTAAGCTATTATATAATAACATGCCTGCTGAATATGCAGTACTACTCAAACACAGCCTCATATCTGGCTATCTATTGTGGAAGGAAGAGTTCTACAAGCTAGTAGATGGTGTGGCGATGGGCTTACCTGTATCTCCCATAGTCGCCGACATATTCATGGAGGACTTCGAGGAGAAAGCCCTTCTTACTGCTCCTGTAAATCCAAGATTCTACAAGCGGTACGTAGACGACACTTTCACAATTTTACCATCTGACAAAGTAACTGCATTTTAAACCACCTTAACTCTATAAAACAATTCACAATGGAGTTAGAGGCAAATAATTCTTTAGCTTTCTTAGATGTTTTAGTCATTCGAAATCCTAATAACACAATTGGTCACACTGTGTATAGGAAAAAGACCCATACCAACCGATATTTAAATGGTGAATCTCACGATCATCCTTCACAGTTAGCTACCGTGGGTAAATCTTTGTTTCAGAGAGCACGAGGGATCTGTGACAGAAAACATCTGGCCGCCGAACTTCAGCACGTCAAGCAAGTATTGCAAGACAACAAGCTTCGGGTCCCGCACCTACGTCACAGTGTTCGAGTGAAGCCGGCCACAGTCGAGCGTGTACCTGCTGTACTACCATATGTCAGAGAAGTCACAGACAAGGTTGGCTACATCTTGAAGCGAGTTTCCATTAAAACATACTACAAGCCGCCGAAGAAAATTAGTCAATTTTTACCATCCGTCAAGTGTAATATTCCTCTACAAGATGCAGGAGTGTACAAGTTAGATTGTGAATGTGGTCTCGTCAAACAAAAAGATCCATAAAAACCTGCGTGAAAGAACATATAGCTGACGTGAAGCACCGACGCTCCGGGTAGTCTGCAGTCTGCGAACATGTTCAAGATCGTCCTCACCATTACATTCGATTTGATAAACCACAAATCCTCGCGAAAGAACACCGATTCCTACCAAGGATGATACGCGAGGCTATTGGAATTAAAAAACATCCAAATTTCAATAGAGAAAATGGATGGGGCTGCCACATGCTTGGGATCCTATAATTAACAAAATTAAACCCAAACCTTAAGCTCGTTTTGCGTAAATCAGACCAAAAATTAATATTCAAAAACTGAAGGTAGCCGGACTAACTATGACATTGGGACGTCAAACATCTCAGTCCCCCCCCCCGTGACCATGGGTGCTGTAAAGCACCCGAAACGTCGGGAATTAAAAATAAGTAAAAGTAGTGAAATAAACGCGATAAAATCCGTAAATTTAGTTTTATTCAATATAAACCGTGAGAAAAGAAATACCTACTTTGAATTAAATATTTGTAGTTGCAAAAGAGAACTTAGCGTTTACAGGAAGTAAAGCAACTCTAAGGCGAATAATGATGATATCACTGGGCTATGCCTAACATAAGCCTGGAGTGTCAGTTTACGACGTATTTATCAAAATGATGCACTGTGGGCTAACAAAAACCCGTAATAAATTTAGATGAGACGTAGATTCGTGCTCATTACACAATGAAGAAGTATTGAAAGTCAAGCACAATATCTGGCGTAAAAAAAGATGCGCAGGACGTCGGTGGGTAATCACTCACGCTGGAGGTTAAAATGGTTTTAATAGACGGGGCGCTTCTTATATTTAAGTCAAAATAAAATACGGGTGATTATCATGACATCTTAAAAAGGCCCCAGGCGAGGCTGTTTAATTCCGTCCTCCATGGTGGGACTACTCCGGAGGCGGGGAGCAGAAGTGCAGTGGTCTTCTCTTCAAGAAAGGCGACCACGCCCTCTTGAAGAAGTACA